TGGCCTACCCACCGTGTCCTGGTCAGGGATGCCCCCTGTGAAGAGGTAGATGCCTTGTGATTGCTGTTTGTCTTTGTCCTTGAGGTCCACTTCCACAGCCTTCCGCAGGGCGCCGAGGACGTTCCTGCTGCCCCGACACTGCAGGGTCAGGACCCACCTGGGAGGCAGGGAGGCCAGGCTGAGGGAGGCCGGCTGAGGGAGGCCAGCTGCGAGGCCCCAGACGGGAAGGGCAGGGACTGGAAGGCTGTTGTTTCCCTATTTGCCCGTGTCTATTGGAGGGTGAAGATTCTAGAGAGCTACTTCCTGGGGCAGAGGGAGCCAGAGGAAAGGGCTGCCCACAGACACAGCAGGTCACCTACCTCCAGGCGCTCTGTAAGTTGTCATGGCTGGCGGCAACCATCTCTGGCCTCCAACTTTCAACTGTGCTTCCAAACCTTGGACGGAAGGAAAGAGGGCTTGTTCTTAGGCAGGACGTAGGTCCACGGTGTGCCCCAGCTCTTTGGGCTCCCCAGACTTTTGGGGGACAAAATTCTAATTACACTCCCAAAATGTTAGGCTGTCACTGGCCTGGGCCAGCCATGAGATTTCCTTGCTGGTCACGACGCTTCCCAGCAAGCAGAGCTGGGACTCTCAGCAGAGACACGGCGCCAGGAGCCGGGATCAGCTCTGGCCAGACTTCCCTCCCAATGGGTTATCTCCCTTTTCTGCCTGAGTGTCCCCAGCTCCCAAGGAGGAGTCATTTCTGCCTTTTAGCTCCCCTGGTACTGATTCATCCTCACAACACATTTTCCACTCTCCATCTGTACCAAACATTGTTTTTTTTTTTTAATGTGCATTAGTTCATTTTCCCTTGATAGAGAATGTAAATCTTTAAGAAGAGGATTTATCCCCTTTCTCAAGGAAAAGGTGTCCCCTCTCTGGTTCACGAGCAGTTCTTCCACCTGGGCTCCTGACTGACCCATAGCTGATCTCTTCTGAGACTGTGCCCCAGAGTCACCTCCCACCCACACATTCCTGACTTCTACCTCCCTCTGCCCCATCTCCTCTCTTAAATATAACTTCCTCCGTCTACCAGGGTCCACTACTTCTCTCTTTCCCTCTTTCCCCTTTCTAGACAAGCTCCCAGGAGAAATGGTTACCACCTCCTCTTCTACTTACTCCTCAGCCCAGGGCAGGTTTCTAAGACCCTTCTTCCCTTGGGAAAGGAAAACCCCTTTCTCTCCTGGTTTTCCGCCTGCCTCTCTGGCTGCTCCTCTCTTGTTTCTTTGGTGGTTCCCTTCCTGTGCCCACCTTCCAAACGACAGTTCCTCCCAAGTTCTGGCCTCAGTTGTCACCACAGGTGCAGCTCAGGCACTCCCATGTCTTCAACCAGGCAACCAAAATGCGGATGGCTTGCAAACCCGTATTTCCTTGCCAGAGCTCCTAACAGGAGAATCTCCAAACTCTTGAGAATCTCCAACTCTATATGTTTAAAACCAGAGGAAGGGTATAGCTCAATTGGCAGAGCACATGCTTAACATGCATGAGGTCCTGAGTTCAATCCCCAGTACCTCTGTTTAAAAAAACCAACCTAATTACACCCCCCCCCAAATAAAACCATCTTCTACTTCCAAGATCTGCTCTACCTGGTACATCTTCTCCTTATCATTCCCTCAACCCCGACAAACAGGGACCACATTCTGCAGACTCTAACTCCCTAACATCTCCTGCAGCATCCCTTTCTTTCATTCCCATTGCTTTGGCTCAAGCCCACTCTACAGAGGACAAGAGTATTGCAGCCGTCTAGCTGGTCTCCTTCCCTCCAGTTCATCCTTCACCTTGTAGTTTGAGTGTTTCAAGATTATAACCTTGCATAAAATCCTTGAATGCCTATATGTCTACAGTATAGAAACTCCCAAACGTGGCCTATATAAATCCTCTTTTGTCTTGTCCTGCACAATCTCCCCCTCTCACTCCACATTCACACTGAACTATTCACACTCATGGTCCCCCACCCCCCCGTGCCTCTGCTCATGCTGTTCCCTGCGCCTGGAATGCCCTTTCTCCCCACTTCCCCTGTCACTCCCATGTGCCCGGCAAACACCTACTCATCTGTCAGGCCTCAGCTAAAGGGTCACTTCCTCTGCCAGGGTTTCCTCTACCCACACGCAATGGATTGAGCCTGCCTTTGGCCCCTCACAGTCTCGTATCCTGCCTTCTACTTATTTCTTCAGAAAACACTTAACAGCACTTGTACCTGAACATGCCTGTCTCCCACTACTAGGCCACAAAGTCCTTGAGGACAGATACTGTGTGTTTTCATTTCTGTATCCATAATGACTAGCATAGCAACTGGTCCATGGCAGGCTTTCAATAAGACTTTGTTGAATGAATGGCTGGCTGACTGGATGAAAATATTGTCCAAAATGTTTCTCTAAGCATTTTTTTCTGTAAAATTTATCAGGGAAAGATTAGGCTCTGATACGGTTTAACATATAATATTAACTGCTGATTTCTAGGTTTTGAACACTCCCTATTTGATGTGAAGTTGCGTTAAAATACATACTTTAAGTGGGTTCCTCTTCTCTCTCCCCTAATTAGTTAAAATGATATGTAACCTAAAATATATATATAACTATACACATATTTAAATGATATATAATTATAGATTAAAATTATACATAACTGTATATAAAACTATAATTTAGATATACATAGTATTAGATAGTTATATATAATCTGAATATAGTAACATAATTTATGTATAAATATATAATTTATATATTAAGTATTTATATTTTAAATCAAAATTTAAGTTTATTTATATTTAAAATTAATGTTATATATAAAAATATAATTTATATTATATATAGTTATGTACAATTTTAATTGATATTATATATGATTGTATATAATTTAAACATATTTAGTTTTATATATAAATCATACAGTTTTATATATCACTATATGATTTAATTGTATATAGCTAAACATATCATTAAGATTTACAACTGGAATTCTAAATGTTTGAAACCTTGTGGTTGCTAGAACTGAGCTGGGACTAAGCCTGGGGGCCCTTTTTCTCTCGTTTGTGCTTTATCAGCTTGGAAGCCAAATGGGGCAATGGGCTGAGTTACCCTATCCTGGCTGATCAAGCAGTGGTGTACTGGGGCCTCTCACCGCCTTCGCCCCAGTGGGACTGTCCTGCAACTATTTAATTATTCAGTGCCCCAAACAAGATCACTCAAATCAGATAAACTGACGGCCACCCCAGGATGCTGGGTGCGCATCTGCTGTCCTGCCAGAGGCCTCGGCCCGGCGAGGCACCCGAGCAGCACGCCCTCCCCGCTGCTGGGAGGCAGGAGCCCACGTACGCCACGATGTTGAAGCAGTCCTTGTTGGCCAGTTGCTCCTCCAGCAGAAGCCGCAGGGAGTGCTGGATATGAATAATGTACATGGAATTGGTCACGGAGATATCGAGCAGTATAACCACCCTGAAAAGAAACACAAGCTTTAAGAGGAGAACCGAATCTCTCAGATAATGTGTATTTCGTTCCATTTTACTATTTAAAGTTTTTTCCAGGGGAGCTTTGCCTGCCAGATTTGCCACTGGCCAAAATCGTCTCCGTGGTTTGAGGTCAGCACAGGTGGGTTTTACAACAGTAGCCTGAGGGAGTCATGGAACCTTCTCTCCAGGAGTATCTGTCAATAAAGCCTCACAGTAGAGGAGGTTTAAGGGCAGGGTGGCGTAGAATGGTTTTCATACATTTCTTTTTAAATCACTAGCATTCAGTATTATCATAGGTTGGGGTCTGTGAAGGGCAAACAGAAGGAAGCTAAGCAAGTCAGATGGGGAATTAGGTGTCACTGGGCCTCTAGGGCAATGTGTCTTTTTATTTCCTCTCTCTGTTTTATGATCTCTAGCACCATTCAGCCTTCTCCCTTACTACCTCAAATCTTATATTCCCATCTCCTCCCACCATTCTCATTTTGAGACAGCTATGGAGAGCAAAAGAAATCCACTGGATACAGAGTCAGAAAACCTTGGTTCAAGTCCCACTTCCTGTGTGGCCTTAGGCAAGTTACGAAACCTCTCTGATCCTTGGCATATTTAACTATAAACTATAATAAGACTCCTCATGGGGTTGCTTTGAGAATTAAATGATACAATAGATGAATAGTATTACAAAGTATAATATTTAGTGAGTGGTAATGCATCAAATAAGGTATGGAGTGATAATAATGACTACAGTGGATACCTATTTTTTCCTCCCTACTTAGCATCGATTACCTCTTCTCACAGCAGTCTCTTGATTTTTGTGGGGGACAAACACCTCTATCTCTAACAGTCCATTTGAGTTGGTGGAGCTGACCCTACCCAAGCTTTGAGAGTGGACATTTGATTCCAGGCAATCAGAACATCACTCTCTCCTGGCAAGGATGAATAGCTTGTGGGTGATGCCATGCTCCAAGCCCTGGGAGGGCGTTAAACTGGGAGCTTCAGGTGGCCATCTTGCCACCTGAAGGGGAGGAGAAATCCTGCCTGAAAACAAAGTCAACAGAGAGGAAAACAGAGCTGAAGGATAGAGAGAGATTCCTGACATGCATGCACTTCTGGATCAAGCCATGCCTGAATTCCGTGATCAAATCTACTCTAGAATTTTCAGTTACTTTAACTGGACTTCTCTGTTTTGTTCAGATCAATTTGCATTTAGTTTCTGTTACTTTTTTAACAGGAAGGGTCCTGAGTGACACAGTGATTTTACTGTTGATGTTGAGGACGATGGTGGGATTTTGTCCTCCAGGGGTTCTGCTAAGTGATTGCTGATCTTTAAACGATGGCTTCTGATGCTACCACCAGGGAACCCATGAGTCAGATAATTGCTGTGTCATACAGGAGACCCAGGAAGGACAAGAACACTCCTTGGGGGAAGGTACCTTTTTTCGCAGACGGTGCCCCAGATTCTTCTGCTGGCCAAGGAGAGCCACTCCATCCGTCTCTCATACATCTGCATAGCTCTGCTGAGCTGTTTCTGCAAACTCAGGGGCCACCCACAGTGAGTGACTGCACGGAGGATGTCCGATTAAGGGGTCTGTTGGGGAGGGGGGCGTACCCCACTAGGCTTTTGGGAATGTTGTGTCAAGGCCTTAGGTATCCAGGCACTAAAGCATGGATGAATCTGCAGCAAGACCAGGAAGAGAACAGTCAAAGTATTTCATTGCCTCAAATGGGGGAGAGGTGGGTCCCGACCCAGAGGATTAGAGACTTTTGTTTGAGGCATCCTCGTCCCTGCCTGGGGGGGAGGTGGCGAAAGCTCCAGAGAGGCCCATAGGTGGAGCACAGTTTCTATTTACAAGAGGGAGTAAACAGACTAGTGCTTGGTGCTCCCACATTCCACGGTGCCTTCCTTCCCTGCCCCCTGCACCCCCATATTCTGACAGACAGGACCCACCACTGACCTGGTACTCATATAGGAAGGGCAGGTCCACGTGAATGTTCTTCACCGTCCCGTCATGCCATTCAAATTGTACCATTGCCTTCTGCACTCAGGGGTGGCCAGGAGGCGAGTGGGCGAGCAGAAGCATGTATAGGGGAGGGGTACAAGTGTAAACTGTGCACTGGGCTCTCCAAATCAGATGCAAGAGAGGGAAGCGGGTTCTGAACTCATCCGGGGTCAGATTATGCCCCGACCCCAGCAGGCCGGTGCCTTGGCTGGAGCCTCAGAGAGTGGTCCCCTGAATGAACCCTGCTGACGGCAAGCTGCTCCCTTCCTAGGAGGCTCTTCTGAACATCAGAGTCTTTATTACAAGATATGGTTGGAGGTTTCGGTAATAGAAGAGACACAGAACTTAAAACGTACTGGAAATGGGCTCTTAGGTTTGGGAACCCAGATAAGCCTTCATGGACACTTTAAAAATCAAATTTGTTCAATTTGTTCTTTCATCCTCCATCAAATTGTCACGTCTGTATCTCTAACTTTCACTCCATCCACTTAGTCATCCATCCATGGACTGCCAGAACTACACACCACACTCTCTCTCTTTCCTTTCATTGTTTCATTTTCCCACTGATCTTTCTACTCACTCAATATTCCTTCCTTCCATTTCTCCATCCTTCCATCCTTCCTTTTATCCTTTCATCTTTTTTCATTCTATCCTGTCATCCATCCTTCCATCTGTTCACATTTCTGTCCATCCTTTCACCTATTCATTCATTTCCATCCATTCACCCACTCATCCTTCTTTTCCTTCTTTCCATCCTTCCTTCCACCCACTCAACATTCCTTGACTGCTTCCATGTACTAGATATCAGGGATACAGAATCGGAGAATTTTGTTTCTTTTAAGGGGCCCATACTCTGGTGGGTTTTAGACATGTAACAAATACATGCGTTAGCACATCCTGGGAGCTACAGCAGAAGTCTGTACAAGGTACAGCAAGGGCAGAAAGAGAGGGAGTGTGTGCTGAATGGGCTGGAAGAAAACTTCCATGGAGGCGGTGACCAAGCTGCCCAGTACACTCCCTCTTACCCCAATCTCCCAAGTTGCATGGTCACATCTTTGAAAAACAGCAGTTAGAGTCGGTTTGATGAGCGGTCTGGAGTCCTGAGTGGAAAGCTTACATCCCACTCCAAGCCCTCAGCCCCTGCTCCTTGGCCTCTGCCTTATGACTCTTATTTCCTGAACATTTAAGGAAGGAAACACCACAAAGGAGCTCCCCTGCAAAGCACTGGAGAGAACTCTGAATCTGTTACCTCATAGATAGTGGATGAGACTGTCTTACGGAGAATAGGCACAAATTCCTCCACGGGAGAGAATGCATTGGGGGCCAGAACCTGATAGAGGCTTAGCTTCTTGGCTGTAAAAATAAATAGTGGGGTTTGAGGCACTAATCATGAAGCCCCAGAGGGTTCACGTCTTTCAATCAGTGTCAGTCACCCGAGTCCTGGGTTCTGCCCTCTTTGGGGGTTTACCTTTCAGGCTGTTGGTCTTCAGCCATTCTGCCGAAGTCTTGGCCAAGTTTGGGAACTCAATTGTGAGGGGAGCCTCATGCTTCGGGGGTTTAGGCAAGAGACTTGTGAATGGCCTTTTTGCAATCTTGTTGGAAATCTAAATTAAAATGAAAAAGCATCATTACATAATCGTATTTTGTAGCTAGAAAGTCCACAGTCCCACCCCCTCCCAACCCAGTTCCTGTATAGGAGCATATTAAAACATTACCTGGTAAATTAAAGGCAGTTCTGCCTTCCCCTCCCACCATCTCCATCCCCTTGTCTGGGGATTTCTAGAATTTCCAGGAGAAGAGAGAGATGTAGCCAGAAAATCACTTCTTTATTGATTTGTCCATCCCCCCCACTCCTTCCCACCCTTACCATTAAGACCAGCACCGCAGACTCCAAGATCCCTGGTGGCCTCCTCCCTGGGCTCAAAATAAGACTCCAGGGAACTAAAAAGTAACTCCTACACCAGATCATTTACGGAGCCATGATCTATCCTGGCCTCCCTCACCCACATTTACAACAGAAAGCCTGAGGTTCTGAGTTGTTAAATCACATAGCTTGTGTAAGAGGAAAACACAGAACAGAAATTCCCATATTTTGGACACTTGAGCAACGCCTTCATGAATTTTGCTATATTTGAGTACCACTGTACTGTTATTTACTTAATATTAAAAAAACAAAACATGTATAACATTAAAGCTTTTAAATTATTAATTCTAATAATATAATTGAAATTAATATTAATTTCAATTTTAATTTTTAATTGACTCCTTTTTTGTACTTAAATAATTTTAGAAAGAAGATATATTTCTATCATGATAAGCTAGTTTTAAATACATAACATTTGAAAGAATATTAACCCATATGTCACCTTATAATCATCTTGCAAACCACAAGTGGCACATACATTTCATTTTGGGAAACTCCTGGCAAGATTTTGGTGTCAGACAGACCTGCGTTCATGTCAGACTCAATCGATTTCTATCTCTGTGGTCTCAGGCAAATTATTAAACCTCTTAACATCAGTTTTCTCACCTGTAAAATGGGAGTAATGACATACCTGACACAGATGTCATTTTAAAGGTAAAATAAGGCATTTAAAGAATTAAGCATTGTGCCTATCTTATAATAAGCACTCAGTAAATGAGAACTATTCTAATTATAATACTGATAATTATTGCTATTGTTTATCGATAATCAGTAGAGAAGCTGAAACTAAAATTTAAGCTCCCAGTCTAGGTGCTGTGTTTCTTTCAGGACATCCAGCCAGGTAGGAATGTCTGGTACCAGAAATCCAGACCTTCATTCTATGAAGCTATAAATGCATTCCCAGTTCTCTTTGTCCAGAGCTAAGTTTTCTCTGTGGTCTAAACAGCACATAGCTTTTACGGTGCTTGTGTCCATAAGCTGGCTGAGTTATTCTGCTCATGTTAAATTAATCATCACCAAACAGGGACTTTGCCCTGAATGAGATGCTGGGTGGGAAGACTGCTTTCAAGACGGCCTGCTGTGCGCAGCTGAGGTTTTCATCATTCTCCAAACTAGGGGGGAGGGGGGACAGTGGAAGGTGGAAGTTGGAAGGGGTGGCAGGAGTCTGCTGGCCTTTCTCTGAAAAATAACAATTAATGCTATAAGTTTTTAAATAATAATCAATTATTTAAAATAACAATTTGGAAATTAATAATCAATCATAATTTCCCTGGAATAATTTAATTATTAATAATTAATTAAAAGCCACCAGGATCCTTCCATCACAGAGGCCCCTGCAGCTCAGAACCGTGGGGGTCGTGGGGGGCGGGGCTTCGCCTTGTTTCTCTTTCCCGATGCGGGGGTGGGCGGTTGGGGGCTGCGCAGCCGCGCCCCCTGGGAGGCAGGTGAGCCAGGAGAGCCGAGGGAGGCCAGCTGAGTGCCTCTGCCAGGTCAGAGCATCGTCTCCCACCCCCTACCTCCTGCCTCACGCCGGCCGGCTCCTCGCAGGGGGCACTCTGCTGCAGGGCTTGGACGTGGCTCCGGAGGCTCTGGGCTTTCTGGATTTCTGCCAGGAGCTCATCCACCTCCCGGCTGGCGCAGATCTGTGGGTGGTGGGAGCAATCGGTCAGCCAGAAGTCACCTGGCTACTGACAGTGGCCAAGGCAGGAAAGTACAAGTGGCCACGTCAGTCTCTAAGGTGGAGCGGCTGACTCTTTAAAGCAGACCATATAAAGTGGGGTTCATGTGCCCGACAGAGACTGGAACGGTGGTGATGCGCCCCATTTGTACAGTATTGGCCTGCAGGGTTTTAAACAGCTGAAGGACTCTGTAACCTTAAAAATGGGAAGAAATATTTTACATCCTCTAGGACGGCAATACTACTACTACTACTACTACTACTACTACTACTACTACTACTACTACTACTACTACTACTACTACTTCAACAAATGTTGGAGAGAACATGAGGAATTGGAACTCTTGTGTGATGCTGGTGGAAATGCAAAGTGATGCAGCTGCTGTGGAGAACAGTTTGGGGGCTCCTCAAAATATTAAATATAGAATTACTACATGGGCCAGCATTTCTACTCCTAGCTATATATCTACGATAATTGAAACCAGGGACTCAGACACTTGTACACCAATATTGATGCCAGTTCACAATAGTCAAAAGGTGGAAACAACTCAAGTGTCTGTTGACTGATGAATGGAGAAATGAAATGTGTATATCCAGAAAATGGAATATTACTCAACCATTAAAAAGAATGAAGTCCTGATATGTGATACACCATAGGTGAACCTTGAAAACACTGTGCTAACTGAAGGAAGACAGACACAAAAGGTATATGATTCCATGTAATGAAATGTCCAGATTAGGTAAATCCATACAGACAGAAAGCAGATTGGTGGTTACCTGGGGCTGTGGGGGAGGGGGGAATGTGGACTAACTGCTTTAATGGGTACAGGGTTTCCTTTTGGGGTGATGAAAATGTTTTGGAACTAAATAAAGCTGGTGGTCTCACAACACTATGAATGTACTACATGCTACTAATTGTTCACTTTATGTTATGAGAATTTCACTTCAATTTTTTAAAATGTAAAGAAATCACACATACACAAATATCTAGACTTCTGGCTCTTGTTGAAAAATCAGAAGACCTAGAAACAGTGAAGTCACACTCCTACATAACAACAATCTGCTGGGGCTGAGCAGAAGTGCCTCTTTACATAGACGGGGCATACGTTGTTTAGTTCACCACACTCCCCACTACTCTCTCTTGCACCCCCATCACAGTCAGTTGTAATTTTTTGTCATCCTTGCACAGTCTCATACTAAAGACAATGAAATTTGTTTTACCCATACCTCCATCAAGAGTGGGAAAAGCAACAGATAAGCCAAGAGGGTCACAGGTTTTAGGAGAAAATATTTCTTAAACCAGCCAGTGTCATTCATACACGGTAACCTCCCAGCCCATAGAGTGTGTGACTCCTACAAACAGAGTCTAGGTAATGACGTAACAAGAACGGGTGTTGCCCAAGGAAAATATGGCCTGACCTTGGCTCCCTCGTGTGAAGTGCTAGACTTTGCAACACTTGAACACACTTGTGAGATGCAAATATTCATTTACTTCTGACTACTGGTGCTTGGCAGGCAACGCACAGCCTGTTAGGTGAACAGACAGCTGGATTTTCAATCTGCCAGATGGATCCACATACACATTTGCTAACTGTTAATGTTAATTGCTAGCTGTCCTCCACTGTGGATATGGAGTGGGTGATGTTACTATCACCTAGGACAAGGATACTAGTGGATGGATCAGTACAGAATTGCTCATCCAGAACTGATTGTTGCACGTCTCCTGCAGTAGCAGGGGTCCATCTAGAAGAGAGACCTGAATCAACTGCTTCAGACTCAGAGCTTTGGTGGGAGCAGAGGTGGGTGGGGCCCATATTGATGGCAACTGCATAGAGACACAGGCTTCTCCCTGCGGGGCTTTAAAAGGCTCCCACGGGCGAGACTCACAGTGTGCAACCAACTCATCATACACGCAGACAAAAGATCTCTTGTGACTTCATGTGTTTCCTGTTCTCCCCACATACTCATTTTAAGCTGATTTTCCCTATGTAAACTCATTGAGTAGGGATGGGAAGGAAGCAAACACACACTCCGCATGGTCTGTCTGGCCCAGCCTCCCTGGGCACAACTTTGGAGGCACGGGGGACAGGAGGAGGGGGTAGCGTGTTGGCCCAAGGGCTTACCTCCATCTCTGGACCACAGCAGTGGTAGTAGCCCCCAAGAGCTTCTGCAAGGTTCTTCAGAACGGCCTGTGGGGACGCATAGGGTCCGTCCTCACTAGGGCAGGACCACTACTCTAACAAGTCTTCTCCTTGTCTGAGCCTCCCAACTGTCCAAAGCCTCCCAGCTGACCCACGGGAGCGCTAGGTACAGGGAGAGGTGTGTTCTGGTCCACAGCTCAGGGGCCTCTAAGGCTGGCTCAGCTCACTGTGGCCAGTCCGAGGGAAGCCTTGGAGAATCTCGGGTTCTTACAGGGGGCACCTGCTCGTTGCACTTGTAGGTGATGAAATGGGTGATGAGGTCCCTTCCCATGGCGGACTGTTGGATGTAGTCGGACAGGATTTCAGAAGGCTGATCTGGGCTGGGGAGGAGATGCAAGAAGAGAAGGGGGCACTCCAGCACGAGGACTTGCCACAGCAGAATGGTAGGAACCCACCCAAGGAACAGCTGTCAAATCTAACCAACCACCTGTGTCCCAGGTCACCTGTGCAAGATGCAGGGCAGAGTGGACCACAGGCCTGGCCTCCCCTGGCTGCCCTCCCCCCACATCTGGGGACGGATGGCCTGTGAACACAGTCCTGCTCTTGAAGGCGCATGAAGTCTCATGTCTGATGATCTCTTCTCTAAAAATGGTTTGTTTCTCCAGCCCCTTCTTGTGTCTGTTATGTGCTTAGGAAAGGAGACCTACCAGCTTCCCATAATGGTCACCAGAGAATTCAGCCCCTTCAGAGCGAAGACTTTCTTCAGGGCTTGTAGCAGATTGCTGCCTCCCTCGGGCTCAAGTTTCTTTACCCAGAGCTTGAGTTCCTGAAGGCTGGGGGTCGGGGTGATAATGGAGACAGAATTCTCACTAGGTGCCAGGTCCAGGACAAACAGGAGCTCCTTTAAGCCTGACAGTAGTTCTTTGCGATGGATAGCTTTATTCCCATTTTATAGATGAGGAAACTGAGGCTCTGAGGTAGGACCTGCCCAAGGTGATACTGTAAGCAACTGGCAATGCTGAGATTTCAAGCCAGGTGTGATTTTTCTTCCCCTCCAGTTCCCCTGGGAGGCAGACCTCAGCCTGAAGCACGGAATTAATCCCCTAACCCTGAGAGGGCTCGAACAGAAGGCACCAAGGCGTGTTGGCTACACCCCACATGGATTGGGAGACACACCACTCACAACAGGGAAAATGACTTCACAGGGAGCTTTCTTGGTTAAATAGCTCCCGTGGCATGAGAGCTCTGTCCTTTCCATTTCTCTTTCAGTCTGATTTAAAAAAAAAAAACACCCTCAGTTCATTGCCAGGAAATCCATTTTTCGTTAGTGTAAATGTTGAATCTCCCTTTTAAACACAGAGAACAAATCCCAGGTTGGCGCCTTCTTGAGCCAATGGTTTTCAAGCTGGAATTTGACATCATTGTTTTGCTTGCTGTCATTGTGTTACTTTTATGATGACTTTGAATTACTGCAAGTGATAATGGGCTTCTCAATTATGGTATTGGTTGTTTCCATCAAAATACCTATAGAGCTGATAGTTAAAAACAGGTAATAGTACCAGCGACACAGAGTAAGTCACAGTACAGCAGCAGGGATGTGACAGAAATCACGAGGGGAGCCCGGGAATGACTGCAGCTGAGGAACCCTTGGATAGATGGCCTCAAGGTGACTTCCAGGTCTGACATCCCAGAGCTCCGGGGTCTAACAAGAGTGGAAATCACAGTAAAAAAAAAAAAAAAAAAAGCTCTCGTTCACCGAGTGACTGCCCCCCTGCAGTACTTATTTTTCGCTTCATCTTCACAACAACTCTGTGAGAAGCAGGTGTCCTCACCACATTCTGCTAATGAGAGAGTTAAAGGACCAGTCAGATGCCCCAGTCACTGTCAGAGCTGGGTGCTAGGCCCCCGCTGTGGTGGGAACCTGCACTTCTCTCCGTGGAAGGGTTCCTCTTTATGGCTAGTGCTGGGCACGGGGACCTCCGTCCCAGAAACCCAAGCATGTGTTTTTCCCTGGAATCTGCTCTGGGCTTGGGAATCCAGTCCTGACTCTGCCATTTCAGACACGTTCCCTTGTCTGAGTCCCAGTTTCCTCATCTACAAAATGGGCATAATGATCCTATTCTATGTGTCAGCTACAAATATTAAATACTTGTGAAGTACGGAGGAAAATGGGGAAACACCAGGGCCAAGGCTGGGCAGTCACTCACGTGGAGGTGCTGACGTCCACGGGCTCAGGCCAGAGGGCGCTGGTGGTGGTGCCGAAGGACAAGACGTACAGCTTCTCCTTGTGGCTCAGCTGCTCATCAATGAGGCTCTGGTGGACAGAAGGACGTCACTGGCTCCCAGAGCCGGGGCCACATGGAGACTGGCTTCCCGTCTGAGATATGGCTGGTCCCTCTGGGCTGGGATGTGAATTGTGCTGAAACAGGGTCACTTGAGGCTCGGCTTAGTGGCCCCAAGTTGACACTTGCTTGCTGCCCTTGGGGTCTCACGGGGCATGGGAGGAGTGCCCTAGTGGCCTGTCCCAGCCTGTCCCTGGCTGTGCGTGGTGGGGGCGGGGGCATGGGCTGTCCAGTCTGGGAGAGCTGTGCCCTCATTGGCTGCAGGCCCACGTTCTCTTCTGGAGCAGCTCCTGAGGGCTGCCACCCACTTGGGTCATGGGTGCGGGGGGGATGGGCACCTATCTCAGCGGGTGCTCTGGTTGGGACTTGACACTTAACTGTGGCCCTCAGGGAGGAGGACGGACGTCGGGGGCAGTGGTTTCCCTCCTGATTTGGGGATGGAGCAATGGGTGCAGTGCCAACCTGTTCCATGCTCTCAAGCTCAGCCTGATGAATATTCAACAGGAAGATAACTCCTCCCTCGCCTTCCTGGCCAGCTAGAAATTTCACCTGCATGCCACCAACATGAGCCTTGCCCTGGCTAATACTGGACCAGTCCACCTTGGGGATCTCTGGAAACTGGGCTCCAGGGACTTGTCATGAAGGGGAGCCTGCACTGACACCTGTCCCCCAACACCTGCTGAGACCAGGGACAGGGACCAAGTCTGGAAACTGGCCCATGTTGACCCCTCTAAAGGGTCCTTGGAACTGCTGTTGCTGTGAAGATCCCACCCAAAGCTCTCGAGGCTCCTCTGAGAAAGCAGACCCTCCTCATTACTCCCCAGAGGCTTTTTGATGCCAGACTTTGTACTGAGCGCTTAATTTGCATGAACTCCTTTTGTCCTCTGGCGACCCTGTGAGGTGGCTGCTGCTATCATCCCCATTGTACAGATGAGGTAACTGAGGCACAGAGAGATTAAGTAACAGGGTCACATAGCCCAGAAGCGGTAGAGGTGCCTAGGATTTGACCCTAGAGTTCTTAGCTTCTCAGTTACGGACATGCCAAAGAAACCAGAATCGCTTCCCTCCTCTCCTCCATTCGGAAAAGGCTGGCAAGCCCTGCTGTGCATGCTGGAGTCAGTTCAGCTGATACTGTACCCATGCCCTCCTTCCAGGGAACCCTGGCTCTCGAGACAAAGTCAAATTAGTAGCATGTGCTGTGCTGAGACTACTGGAAGCTCACACTGCAACTGAGAATGCCTATGAGGCTGGGTTTCGCAGAACTCAATGTATTTTTCTAGCTGTAGGTGCTAATTAAGTGTGAACTGTTCTTTGTAAAACACTCCGTTTTGCTATAAACAAAGGCAGTTAGCCAGCTCACAAAGGGGAGGGTGGGCTGGGGGTGGGGGTGGATCCAGGCACTTCTCTGTGCCAGAGAGACTTACCAGGAGGTCATTTTGGAACTCTTCTTTCTGAGGGCCACTGCTGACGGCTGACACATCAATGAGGATGCCGACTCTGGTCCCCTTGATGAGGCCGAAAGCCTGAAACCAGAAAGGGCGTGCAGGAACCACCACCACAGCTCTGTGCCCCTGCAGACCTTTCACTGACAGCTCCGCGTAACACACAAGTGCTCCTCGGCCTCAACATGAAGCCGTAGAAGGAAGACTCATTTTACAGAAGAAGGAGCAAAACCCAGCGTCCCAACTTTAGCTCTGGGCACTATCTGCTCCTATTTGTGGCAGCCTATTTAATATTTTCCCCCTTAATATTTACTATCCATCCTTATAAAGTAATACATGCTTATTAAAGAAAATTCAGAGACTAGAAAAGCAGCCTTTGAAAGTTACAAAGTCTGATGTCTAATTACATCAGCGTATCTTATTTCATTTCTCTATATCCTTATTTATTTTCTGCCTATTCTACCAATCGAAGGCAGATGTGTTGAGTTCTCCGGCTGCAGGGGTATGTCTGTGAGTTTCTAATTATGTTTCTAACAGCTAATGCTATCTGCGTGCCTATGCTGTTTGATTCAGCACATACACTTCATCCCCTTTATAGCTGCATTGTGAACTGGAATTTTCATTCATAGGAAATTGATAGTTCTCTAGGGCGGTAGTCTCCATTTGATGCTTTTTGCCTTAAATCCTTCTTTGTTGGAAACCTAAGTTATTGTTCCTCCTCAGACCTGCTCCTTGTTCAGTCTTCCCCACCTCGGTAAACGCCGTTTACCATTCACCCAGGCGCTGTGGCCCCAAACCTATCCAATCCATCATCAGCAAGTCCTCCTGGCTCTGCCTTCAAACCAGGCTCTGAATCCATCAGTTCTCGTCTCATTTCTGACCCAGCGCTTGAGTGTAAGACACCATCATTGTCTCCCAGCCTTTGCTCTCTACGGTCAGCCGATGAAGCACCCAGAGTTAATAATTTGAAACGTAAGTCAGATCATGTCACTCCCCTGCTTAAATCTGTCACATAAAATCTGAGCTTGGCAAGGTCTCCCTGCTCTGTGCCTGCCTCTAGCCTCCCCTCCTCCACTCTCCACACTGCTTGCTCCGGGCTTGCTACACAGGTCTCCTTGCTGCTTCTGCAATGTGCCAAGCTTGTTCCTGTCTCGGGGTCTTTGAATTTGCTGTTTCCTCTGCCTGGAACATTCTCCCCCAGATCTCTACATAGCTCACTCCCTCACTTCCTTCACATGTCTGTTCAAACGTCTCCTCCTTGGCCATTCTATTTAATTAGCCCTCCTTCCATCTCACTCTCTGTTCCCTCACCCCACTCTTCTTTATAATGCCATTCCTAACCGACCTTGTATATGATTTATTAATTTATTGTCTGTCCTCCTCCACTGGACTGTAAGCTCCACGAAGGCGGGCCCTTGTACTGGTCATGTCTGTACCCCCAATCCTGGAAGAGTGCCTGACATGTTGTAATAAGCCAGTTGTTATTTGTTGAACTCACGACCCAAATGAAGTATGAAGTTTCCCAGGACATTGCCAATTCTCAGGGGCCAGAAGGAATTCAAATTTGGGGCCAGTTTTATTCTTTTTAAAATTTGAGAAAGCTGACTTGAGAGCTTTTATAATTGAAAACATGCATTTCCTTAAACCTCGCTATTGAGATTCAGAAATTTATCCCATAGAAATAACTGGAAAAGTACATAAGGGGGAGTTGGAGCTTAGTGATGCCAGATAGCCCCAATGGTTCAAGAGAAGACTGAAAGCAGACATAATAGTGAAATATTAGGATTTTTTAATCTTGGTAACTAATTTAAAAAAATATTATACTACGGGGGCCAAGAGAAACATGCTTGTAGGGCCAGATTTGCCTGTGTTCCATCAGTTTGTAACCCTTGCTTTCATCCTCTGCAGATATGGAAGCAGACATCCAGAGAAGTAGGCCCTTGGCCATGGCCTTGCTGACTGCAAGTTGGGAACTGGGCCCAGCGGTGGACAATGCATCACCCCAGTGCCTCAGCACCCAGAGGACTCATGAGTTGATTTACAGCGATAGCTTCCCTGGAGTCCAGTCTGGGCTTGTTTCATGGCTCCTCTAACTCCATCAGAAATGGTGGGGAGGTTTACAGCTCAGTGGTACAGTGCATGCTTAGCATGCATGAGGTCCTGGGTTCAATTCCCAGTACCTCCACTAGAAAACAAGAAAGCCGTAGAGGGGGAGAAGAGCTCAACCAGCATCCCTATCCCCTTTGTCAAAAGTGCCAGGACAGGTGTGATGGGGGCTGGCGGGTGAGAGCAACATTCCCCGAGCAGGTGTTTGTGGAGTACGTGAGGATTTCATCCCTCTGCAGTGTCTCTGCCTGTGTCATCATGTACAAACAGAGGGGGCGTGCCACAGCTGGAGACCAGCCTAGGCAGGTGAATCTGAGATGTAGACTGCACCGTGGACTCAGCCCAGACAGCCAGCCTTAGCTCTGCATTGTCACTCGCTGGTCTTCTGCAGAGATGGGGGTTGGGAGCCAGGGGTGGGGAGCATGAATTTCAGCACATCTGCCTGTCCCAGGCTTTAAAACAAAAACTGAGGATTGCCTAAGGTGCAAGCAAATGGCAGGCCAGAAAAGCACCAGTTTGGGAGAAGAGAGGCTAAAACAAATAAGAAAGCAACAGAAAGGTTCATTTGCCCATGATCTGCCCTTCGGGTCTGAGGAAAACATTTAATCAAACTTTCAAGAAAAGTTATGTGCAGATGATCAAGCTCAGTCATAAATTTCATTAAGGACCTGAAGTGAAATGGTCTAGGGGGCCTTTGCTGTTCTCACCCAGGATCCGTTTCCTCTCCTGGTCACAGCCCTCTGGCCTGTCTGTCTCCCTTTCACAGTCCCTGAGGTTTGGGGGCTGCTCACCCAGCCTCCCCGACGCTGTCTTTCCCCAGGAGTGAGCGCTAGTTCCAGGCCTCATGGGTTAGTGTATCTCATCCCCTTGGCTATGGTGGCTGGTCTAAATTGGCCCAGCAAGAGTCCACCCCAGGACTTGGTGGGGTGTACTGGGAAAGGAAGGTGGGGTCCTCCTTGGCATGTCACTTTAGCTGGTGACATGTAAGCTTAGAGCTGCTGGTGACCAATTTCCCAAGATCAGGGAGAACCTTCCCGAAGATAAAGCCAACCCAGAGGAAAGCAGAGCCTGGACACAAAGGATGAGATCATTTGAGCCACTGGGTACAGCTGTGTTTGGGGTTTTCACTTATGCTGGTCTAGAAATTCCTTTTTT